TGTGGTTTATTGTGACTTACAAGACAAAACAAGCACTTTCTAGTTGCTGTTTTCCATCGCTGGGATCACATTAGTTAATAGTTACCTCAGACATGCGTGGTTCATTTTGTGCGCATGCGCAATAGAGCAGTTGTTATGGTTACTCGTTTTTTCAATAATAAACATTAAACAAGCGACATTCCGGCAAGGAGAAAGGACGAGGATGAAGAGAGCTGCTCTAGAGCAAATTTCCGCTGTACCTCTGAAGCGTCCACCGGTTCTTCACCTATGTAATATATTTGCAAATATTTGGCAATAAAAGAAGAAAAGATTCAAGTAAAAGATGAAAAATCCAGTGGCGAAAAGGAAGATAAAATCAAGAAACTACTGAGATGCACCGGCTGCAGACCTGGAATTTTCAAAACTGTACTATAAAAATACAATTATAGTTTCTACCATGCCTAAGCATATTGCATGTAAATTAAGCCTTACTTGACAAGCATTCATTAGATTATAGTCAGGTAAAATGAGGCAATTTGATTGGTCAAATGAGGTAATAATCTAAGTAGCTTAGTTACCTCTTAATAACTTCTTAGATTACTTGTTAATAACCATTATTTATAAAAATAAAATTGTTATTTTTATTGAATATTTTACTGTCAAAATTAATTTGTGCAGTTACTGAAAGCATTTTTTGTTTGTTTGTTTTTGTTTGTTGAGTATTTTGAGTGTTCACTAAAATATCTGATATCTCAATCAATAATTTTGTTCAGCTGATGTCCTCTTGTAGCTTCTCACTCCATCGATGCTATGGTGACCAATGCGTTCCATTATCAGTTGTTCGTCAACACCTTCTTTGTATAAATGGGTCGCTGCAGTTGCTTGTAAAGAATGATTAGTTTTGACTCCTTTTATTCCTCCCATTTCAAACATTGTGTGTTTTTTTCATCATTGTTTTGTTTTGTTCATTCAAACATTGTTTTGTTCATTATAGCTAGATACCACACACCATGTGGTATAGAGTATTAGGAACGTAAGTTCAGTGCTGTCTTTTTCCTCACTTCCAGGACAAACATTTCCATAAATTTTGCTAGCCTTCGCAACTGAGAGATATCATAGACGGAGTTTCATCAAGTTGTAGCTTCCATGCACCTACACCAAGTATTCCATTGGTTTATGCACCAATAATTGTTTCTACCCTCGTTTTTTCGCCGGTTACGGATGCCATGGCGCCAGCACTCCTTGCTGGTTTGGGATAGCGTATCTTTGTCCTTGTGCTGTTTGCTGCAGAGCTCTAACAGGACAGGCTACTGAGGCTAGTACTGTAGAAGACATTGCCGAGTGATATCTTTGTCGGACCTAGCTAGTTTTGATTTGAAACTGTCTTGTGCTGTCGCTACGGCGTCTCTCAAGGTAAAATCACTGACCAATAGCTTTTCAGAAGATGGAAAAGACTGGTTAGCAACAGCATTATCCTTGTTGGTAACGAGCCCACTGCCTCACATTGCCTGACTATAATCTAAAGAACCTAGACAACGCATTTTCGGTTTCTACGTGATTTAGATTACCTTGGAAACATTAATTAACCTCGGGCTACGCCCAGCTCGGTTAATTAAATTTGTTTCCTCGGTAATCTAAATCACGTAGAAACCTCAAATGCGTTGTCTAACCTATATTTATGTGATATATTGAACATTCAATAATTAATAAATTATTATTATGTAATATATTTGCTATAAGCAACCAATGGGGAAAATTAATAAGTCACAATAAGAATAGTTATCAACACTAAACGTCATCATTAATGATGTCATCTTGAAAAACGGGCCAGTTTTTCAAGATGACATGCTTCCGTGCATGTGTCCCTTTAAGGCAATAGAGAAAGCAAAAGAGGTCATTACTGGAAGGTTTAGACTGTCCTTGAATAAAGTAGAACTAGTCAGTCGTGGAGCAGCTTGGGCAGGTAATTAGTCGGATCAATAGTCAGCGGTAGATTCATACATCAATTTCAGATCACATTGCTGTGTCGCTGTACTTATTAGAAGAAGTAAATGGCCTCATACTACATTTTCCTACAAAGTTCATCACAAAAAATGAAAAACCACATTTCTTTGACACAGGAGAAAAGAATTGGAAAACAAATCCTGGAAGAACAGCAAACCTTTATCATGAAGCATTTTCAAATGAGATTAAGGACAACAGCTTACAGCAGATATACAGTGCCATTGCCATTGGAGCTAAGTACAGGGAACATAAAGGATTCCATGAAAGAAACTCGTTTGTAGCAAAAAGTGACTACCTGATCGCCTTTACATGGAGTTATAAGGAGGAACCAAAGAAAGGGACTGGTACTTATGACATATGGAAGAAATGTAGTAAAGGAACTAGAAAAATACATGTACTATTGAAGTCACTAGTTGATAGCCCAGCAGCAATGGAACCAATGGAACCATCAACTAAAAAATAACAAAAAACTAGACACATTGATTATAACTATAATAACTAAATCACTACTGAAGCATTAATAATAATAGTAATATGTATTTTTATAAAAAGCTACTTTAAAAGACTCTGCAGCAGCTAGTATATAAACTCTATGACTATTAGGTGTTCATCAGCTATAGACTGTTAAGTGTTCACCAACATCTCATCAATCATTCCTTTCATGTCTTTCTTCTTCAATACAAGACCACCCAACACCTTTGCCTTATGCAAAGGATAAAATTCTATTTCATCATTACCAAACTATAAGAAATGAACATAGCAATGGCATCATGAAGCTTATACTCTCCAGCTGTACCTTGTCACTGACGTACTTCTCAATGGCATTGTGATCATGAGGAGACATTGACTTGATGTGGAGTATAAAGTAAATGTAACTGTAGATATTATGATCAGAATGGTAGTGTTTAGCAAATCCCTGCATGAGTATAATCATAAGAATAACAACAATAACATCAGGAATAATAAACATTAATAGGAGGAATACCTTTCCTCTCCTCTCAAAGTCATCATTGTCAATGCCACAGACAAAGCAAACACTTTTCTGATCCTTTTCAGCAGTGTCCTACATATACACATCATAAAAAAGGAAATCATTATTTATGAAGGATTGGATAGTGAAACCTTTTCTTGTCTAAGTTCAGAGAATGTGTCCACAAGAATAGCAGTTATGACTTCAAGGGAAATGGTTGAAATGACAACAAAGAATATCAGATCAAACACTGCCCTCCATAAATAAATTTTAAAATTGGCTCCATTTTGTCCAACATAAGTAACTGAAA